ATCATATCTTATTACCATATTATCCTCACAGAGCATTTTGCTCCCAGACTGCTGGCTTACTCGTGGATCTAGAGTTTCAGCTTTCAGGCCCCTCGGCTGTGGAACCAGCTTCCAGTTTAGATTCAGGAGGCAGACACCCTCTCTACCATAAGATTAGAGTCCAAACTTTCCTTTACAATAAAGCTTATTGTTAGACCATCCACAGTTATGTCACAATAGGCCTAGGCTGCCATGATGCACTGAGCATTTCTTCTCTACTCCCTTTTCACTCTCCATGTGTCATTATTTAGCTCTGGCTTTGTCTCCCATTGCGTGTCCGGTCTCTCTTGAGTCTCTTCTCTTTCTCCTCACCCCCAACTGGTTGCAGCAGATGGCTGCACTTCCTTGAGTCTGTTTCTGCCTGTTAGAAAGACGTTTTTCGTTCCTACTGTTGCCAAGCGCTTGCTCACAGAGGTTCATCTGATTATTGGGCTTAAAGCATCTTGAGGCACTATTTAAAAAAATATCTGAATGGAACTGAAAGTTATTAGATATTTTAAAGGACAATTGCAGAGACTGTGATATTAGAAAAGACATACTGTATTAGTCTGAGATTAGTGACAAATAAAAGAACAATCCTTCGCACTGTTATAAACATTACATGAAGTGAAAGGTCAAATAAAATTTCTTATCCCATTAATGTTGTAACAGTGTTTGTTAAAGATAAAAGCAGGAGTGTAAAACACTTGACCTGATGATGGTTCTCTCCGGTGAGAAAATCTAGTGTGCCCTGTCCTGTTGAATCAGGTGTGAGTGTGACGGATTTTCTGTACTGTAGTCACAGATAATAATTTTAAGATAAAAAAATATGATATGCATTGTCTCATAAAGAGCTATTTGAACATTTGAAAAGTGTTTGCTCTTTTCCCAGAACAGGTGGGGTTATTTTATAGTTCTTGTTCCAATGATAACACCCTCAAGACTCATGAAAATCTTACACAGATGTCCGCAGAGTCTCTCTGTTAACCTGGCTTAGTGAGTGTTATTTTAAAAGTACACTAAAAAGGACATGTGTATTATATGGGATGAATAATGTGAGACATATGATCCATTATGGTAAAAAGAAAAAGCAAGAAAATCTTAAAAGGGTTGAATGAAACTTGTTTCCTCAATTCCTCTTTGACGTCTAGGTTGAGCAAAAACTCCAAAGAACATACGTAATCAATACAGAACACAATATCCCCCCATACAAATAAATACGTGTGCAATATGGTGACTTTTCAGTGAATCACCCTGGAAAGGCGACAAACTGAAACAAGACTGTTTATCCCTCCTTTTCCCAATTCTTTATAGAAGCTGAACTCTCCTTTTCACCCCATTCAGGATTTTCTTGCACCATTCTCCTAAAGTCATTATATAAAAGGGCACTGGGTGGTCTCCCAAACCTACTCTCAAACCTATTTATCTATATCTCAAGCGCTGTCTGTACAAAGCAGGATATGAGTCATGACAGGAGAGCCCCTGACTGACTCAATGGTACTTTGGTTAATCAGTAACTAGAGTGGGAGCACACAGCTGGCCGGGTGGGTTAAAGTAAGAGTGCAGAGGAGTCAGGACCTCACTTAGCACCTCATTCACCAGCGACAACGGCAGACCCATCTGGTAAGAGAATTTATTTTTCTTTATTTCAGTAATTGCTTTTTGATTGTGTGGTAGTTTGAACTGTTAAAGATGAGGAGGGATTTTTTTTTCCAGAGTGCTTTGCTGAATTAAAAACTAAATGTGTTGAAAAGCAAGAATGTTTGAAATTGAAATTAAATTGAAATTTATTTTTGAAAATTTCTATATACAGAAAGAGATTTTATGAAAAATAGATTTTCAAGAAAACTATTCACATATCTGAACCTCATAACATAAGTCGTGAAGTAGCCCATATTTTCACCACGTCTGTAATAAGGTAAGCAGGTACACAATAGGTTAGTTGTGTATAGGAACATCGAATGCACTGGTTTCATTGATCAGGGACCAAGGCCATGTCCTGTGTTACATGTCCTAATAGATGAAAATCTAGTGTTTGCTTACCGCTTCTAAGAGTTCATCAGTCCACACTTATGCATTATCAAGTCAAAGGATAAAGTCCTATTTTTGCATAAGAGAGCACTTACCAAAGTCACTCTGCTTCACAGCTTTTTAGACTAATCCTTGAAAGAATTAATGAAAATTGTCACTTGACTTGAAAGCTGTCCAGTAAAATTGGACCTATAAAATAAATTATGCATTTATACAGCTGTGAAAGTTTGTTTTGTACTTCTATTGATTCTTTCATTCTATGTGTTTTGGGTTTTTTTATATGGTTTTTTTTTATAGACTTGTTATGTAAACACACAAATAAGTTAGTAACAACATATAAATAAGTTGTTTTATTTATTTTAAGCACACTAAGTTTGTACCTGTCGTTGCAAGATAAATTTTTATAGGATACAAAGTTTCCCATCTTATTTGGGTCAGTGAACATATGCAAATACACACACACACACACACACACACACACAAACACGTCTTCATTATCTACGCGACCTCTGTTGCCGAGGGTAATGTCTGCTCTCACTCACTGACCAGCAGGAGAGAAAGCGCACAAAGAATTCAATCAATCTCTGACATGCAGTGTTCCTGCCAGCCAATCATATACAAGCTGAAAACCAGATTGAGCCTGATTTGTGATGAAAGCTGTTGAAAAAGTCATGTAACATTCCCAGAAGACGTCAAACTCAGTGCTCTCCTAACCAGGCTGATACAGAAAATGGTCAGTTATACTTGAGGTGATTGAGGTTGAACTAACTAAATATGTGTCTCCCCCACCAACAGAGACAACTATTTTAGGGTAACTTCCAACCAAAGGTAAAATGCAGAGACTCTGGTCACCTCTTCTGGTCCTCCTACTATACTGCTGCCTCTCAGGAAGCCAAGCCAACCGAGTCTACGTTCACCCCTTCTATCTTTTTGCTGCCGAGAATGTCAGCTGTGAGTCCCTGCAGGCCCCCACGGTTAAGCCTCTGGAGACACTTCCTGTGGCTCCCCTTGACAATGAAGTCTTGACACCAGACCACAGGGATCCATCAAAAGTCAATGTACAGAGGCAAAACATCACAGAGAGGACAGCGGTTTTGGCAGCGCTATTAAATGCTCTAGGCTTGAGGATGTACCAGGCTCTCAGCAGCAAGCAGCATAGCACTAACACACTCTTATCTCCAGTCAACACCTTTGGATCCCTGGTCACCTTCTACCTGGGAGCCTCCAAGAAGACAGCCGGTTCATTCCAGGTATTTATTTACTTTTGTTGTCACTGTTGAAGTAGAACCTGCTGAGCCTAGGCTTTCTGTCTGACCATCCATCTGATTATTTGATTATGTCTTGTACTTTCACTCTGCAAAGAAGTAAACAACCTCAATTCATTTCTTTCTGTCCAGCTTCTACTAGGCCTGAGTAGGGATACTGATGGAAAGGACTGCGTGTCCTTAATGGATGGACACAAAGTTCTTAAGACCCTGCAGGGCATTAATTCTCTAGTGGACGATGGACCCAGAGATGAAATCACTACCCAGGTTTGGGCCTTCACTCGTCAGGATGCTCAGCTGTCCGAGGACTTTATTCAAGGCACACAGGACTTGTCAGACACGTCGTTTATCCGAGGTGTGGACTTCTCCAAACCTCAGGAAGCAGAGCAGCTGGTCAACAGCTTTGTGGAGATGACGTCAGATAGGAAGGTGAAGGACATCTTCAAAGATCTGAATGCCACCAGTAACCTTCTGTTCATCACCTCCTTCAACTTCCAAGGTCTGTCTCTGTTAAGTTGATTATACAAAGTACGTAGATTAGAATTCACAATTAAAAGTTCAAACTAGCTTTCTGCAGCCTACACCAGCTTGTCAACCCCGGTACATTATGTATGGCACTAATCTATAAATATATAACTTTTTGCAGTTCTATTAATTGTGACTCTAATTACCAGCTTTATGTGCATTGATCCAGATGCCAAACTTCACAAATAACAATGCTGATTGTACCATAGAGATATCGGTGGGCCACAGTCTCAGCCTTTTCATCATGGAGCATTTCCTTTCCTCAGACTTTTGCTTAAATCTCTCACATTAAAAATGTCTTTATCGTGTATAGAAAATTCGAATCTGTGTTTGGTTTCGTCTCTTTAGGAAACTGGAAGAAAGCTTTCCAACCAGAGGAAACGACCTTGAAGGAGTTTCATGTGGATCAAACAACTACAGTAATGGCTCCACTGATGACCCACACGGGTCAGTATCACTACTTCAACGATAAGGTAAATCTTTGTATTTAAGAAACAAAGATTAATAACAAGTTGGTGGATTTAGCTTGTTAAAGTCATAGCGACCTGACTCTAATATTTTTGTTCTTTTATTTTGAAGGTGCGGCAATGCACCATTGTGAAGCTGTCTCTGAGCAAACGCTCCTACATGTTGTTGGTCTTGCCTCATGAGGGGGTTAAACTCGGTGATGTGGAGTCAAAGCTGCGCACAGACTTAATTTCTGACTGGCACCAAAACCTTCAGGAAGGGTGATTATTGAACTTTACTAGTACTAGACTTAGAATAAACTTTGACCTGAATGGTTGTTCTTTTTTTGAACAGAAACGTAGTGCCTATATGCTGTTTTTAACTCAAAAGATCAAAATAGGAGAGAAAAAAAAAAGCTATGGATTTTTAAGTTCAGGTCCAATACTGTTAAAATAAAAAAAATAAAAAAACAACAACAAAACAAAAAACACACTCATTATAAACTCTGTCTCCCTCTTCCAGTCTCCTGGAGCTGTCACTCCCGAAGTTCTCCATGTCCTCTGTGACTGATTTGCGTGACCTGCTGACTACCGTGGATCCTGAAATCGAGGCCAAACTGTTCGGCTCCGAGGCCGATTTCGGCCAACTCAGCAACACCAAACCCTTCACCATAGATAAGGTCAGCCTGAGTAGTCAGCTTGTCATAATATAAAAATCACTCTCTGTATATTTATGAGACATTAATAGACCTTCATGTCTCCTCTTAGGCCATCAACAAAGTGCTGTTTGAGATGTCAGAGGAAGGAGCAGAACCTCAGGACCAGACACAGGAAGAGGGCGTCCCTCTGAAGCTGTCCATTAACAGGCCTTTCTTTTTTTCTGTTGTAGAAGGAAATTCTAACTCCATCCTTATGCTGGGCAAGATCATAAATCCTCTGGTCTAATGATATATAGTGCTTTAAGTGAACAAACCCCCCTGACATGAAAAATTTCCCACATACCAGGACTATTTCTTTACAACGTACTTTATCATCTACAGCTTTCATTTCTGCAGGAAATCTTTCATGCTGCAGACATTGTGCTTAAAATCATAGATTTGTTTTCCTTCTGAAATAATTCTCACATACAGTGCATGAGGAATTAAGTGTACCCACACGGAATAAGGATCTAACAGTGTTACTGATGGCTCTCATTTGCAGTATTTATGAAAACATGTTACTTTAAGTTGTTTTCAAGCATAATGTGAAAATCCTAATTAGTTTTTTTTTGTAAAATTTATTATAGCAGAGTTCTGTACAGTATTTTTTTCAGCAGAGTACAGGAAGTACAGTAACCACGACTGTCTGTGATGCACGGCTAGCATGTTGTATATTGTAACTAAGAGTCTATTTTTGTTTTGTTATGATTTGGTTTTGCTGAAATAAAGCATCTGTTTCCAAATACAAACAAAGTTCACTGGTTTTTAATCAGCATTTCAATTGACCTACTTAATCTGTGAGACTTGTGGGAAGTCATTTAAACAGGTAAGGAAAGTGCAGGCTATCATATTTATTCTCATATAGTCTGTGCATAAAACGATTATAGTATTAGGAATAAGCCTCTCGTACCATCACCATACCATGTAACTAAAAGTAATGAACAGGTTGTGGATTTAATAGAAAAGCAGTTACAGAGTGAGAAAATCTACTGAAAATAATCCCAAAACTAATTTTAATGTAGAGCTCAGCAAATTTGTAACTAAGATGTTATAAGGCCTGGCTTAAAATAAGGTTACTGTACTAGCAATTATTTATCACCGTTTACACATAATTATATATGTTAGTTAATGAGTGACAATAATGCACATGCATGTCAGCATTATTGAAGGCTGGCTGTGATTTATAGGGTTTGAATAACTTGCTTCAGCATTCACAAAAACAAATGTTATTCTCCCGTTTAGCTTTCCTGTGCATGTAATAATGTTGCGGTTTATTAAAGGTTCATGGTCCTGCAGCGTTATTGGTAGCACTGAGTATAAGCATGCATGTGGTGAAAACAATGACTCATATACACTCACCGGACACTACATTTGTTACACCAAGCTAGTATATGGTTGGACCCCCTTTTAGCTTTCAGAACTGCCTAATTTCTTCATGGCATAGATTCAACAAGGTGCTATTGTGTCAAAATGGACCATTGAAATATTACTCTGAGGAATGTTTCCATTGTCCATACTGGTGCAGATTTGTCTCGGAATTTCTGAACATCCCATTCCACCATTCAAAGGTGCTCTGTTAAGACTGAACGATTGAGATCTGGTGACTGTGGAGGCCATTTGAGTAAAGTGTTTTCAAGTTCATGAAATCATTTTCTATTTCATTTTGCAAATGTGATTTTTTTCAGCAGAAAATGAGACTCATTAGACCAGAGAATGTTTTTCCAGTATATTATTGTACAGTTTTGGTGAGCCTATGTGAATTTTAGCATCAGTTTTCTGTTCTTAGCTCACAGAAGTGAGACTTCAGGTGGTCACCTCCTTCAAGATTGAACATGCTGTGCATTCAGAGATGCTCTTCTGCTCATCTTGGTTGCAACGAGTGACTATTTGAATTACTCTTGCCTTCCTGTCTGGGCATTCTCCTCTGATCTCTGGGATCATTTTCACCCAGAGACCTCCTGCCACTCACCGGATACTTCCTCTTTTTTGGAACATTTTTTTCTATAAACTCTCAAAATGGCTATGTGGGAAAATCCCAATAGATCAGCAGTTTTTGAAATCACTTTTGTTCTCATTCTCATGCTTGGTTTGAACCTCAGCAGGTTAACTGCATTTTGATTGGCTGATTAGATATTTGCATGAATGAGCAGTTGAACAGGTTTACCTAATAAAGTGGCCATTAAGTATAACTTGCTAATGTGTCTTTGAATTAAAACCACACACAGTATAACATTCTGTACAAAGTTCTTCATTACCTTCATGTTAAACATATTATATTATACAACTGTTTTGCACACATGTGACAAATTAACAGACTTCTCTTAGATTAATCCATCACCAAATAATGATCAATGTACTCCCTTTGTAACTTATTTTGAGCCTCTTGCTATGCAACTTTCTGGCCCAGTGAAAGTACAATACAGTAGTTACATAAAATTACATAACCATAGTACCATCCAGTCCCTTTTCTCCATTTTGCCTACACCAGAACTGCTGATGCTCCAGCAGTAGTTTCTATGCTGTGTCAGCCAACAATTTACAGCCTAGTTCCAAAGTTTACATTGAACTAAGTGATTTGGTACAAATGTTTGAAAATGATTCCAGTAGCGTTAATTCTTCCCATTATTTTCACCTCTTACCAGCCCATGACTCGGACAAGTTTTATCCTCCACAAGTCTCAAGGAAATGTGAAGATGTGAAGTGCTGCATATCAGTGTTTCAGTCATTGCAGAGTCTGTTTTATTGGTTTTGTTCAGCAAGCTCTCTGGCTTCCTTCACAAGATCCATCAGAGTGGAGAACATAGAGATGTCAGTTGGCTGAAGACCCATCTTCTGAATCTGAGGCACACAACAGTATAAAGTTATGACATGAGTTTCTAAAAACATATTTTTGTTAACTGATAAATGTGCACTGCTTGTCACATGTTCATATATGTGTCTTCATACATGGACTACATGTGGTTGTGCACTCATGGAATAGCACCCACCTGTTCCCCCAAGTATTCCACATCTAGTGCCAGCTGAAGACGAATCTTGCCATCATCTGTTAGTCCACCATTTGCTCCTGCTGTTGTAGTCGCGGCTGCACCCTTCCTGGCTTGTTTCAAGCGTTTCAAACTCTCTTCCATCTTTCTGACTGAGCTCAGCACCTCTGAGATGGTCTCATAGTACCTGAACACAACACGAGATGGGAAAGCAGAAACAAATTTAATTCGCTGGCTGAGGTTGGAAAAATCTTTATAAAATGTAAACAATCCAGCTTTTAGAAAGAACTATTCTCCCTGTTGCAATAAAGAAACATTATTGTAACATCATCACAGGCCATATTTCTAAGTCATCAAATCTATTATTGTATCAGGGTTTAGTGGTGGATATGTGTAATGCTTACTTCTGTGTGCACTCAGACAGTGAAACTCGCAGCCACTCTTGTGCTGTGTGAGGGGTGACCAGCCCTGTCGAATCAGTTAGTAACTGATGTAACGGGCGTAAGGCATTATCCATGTACGCTGATGCACGCACCGGTATATCCTACATGGAGAGGAGGTACAAAGTATGATATTATATACTATAAATCAATATACAAGCTTTATATTAAGCATTTTAATACTGTTTTGACCAAATGTAAAAAATAAATTAATATAAACTGAATTATTTTTCTTGGCCTCTTATTGTGAACCACTTGCTTTGTTGTGCGAGTATTGCAGTGTAAGTTGGTACATAGTTACAAGTATAGTGGATCAAATATCAGACAAAAAACAACCAGTCACAGGTGCAACATGTCTAAAAACCTTTAATTAGAGATATTTAATGGGTTTCTTTTTAATATATTTTAACCAACTCAGATTAGCATTGTTTTGCCTTATATATTGACCGAGTTTACAAAGTGTAACTCATTTTGCAATGATTTGGATCACATTGATTATAAAGACTTGGCAGATATTGTTCTGATATTCACTCTACAATTATCAATCACTAATAATAAAAGGAGTCTGCCAACATTGCCACAGAAATGACTGATTAATCAGAATAACAGACTATTTCAGATGTATGTAGTTATGCAAAGTCCAGCAGCACTGCAGTGATGTGCTGAAAGGGCTTGCAGCAAATGACCATGCAAGTTGGTGAATGAATGCAAGAACACACATGTTCAATAGAAAAATAAAGTCAAAGCATTTAAAAGTCCAGTAAATTTCTCTTGCTTTTTTTTTTTGATGAAACTGCAATTTACAACAAAATCATAATGAAACTTTATGCTCAGTGACTACACGACTTTACACACAATCAATAAATCAAATCAGCCCCATACTGAACCATTATTCATTTCAATAAAAGCCTTCTGGGATTTGAATATCAAACAGAAAATCTACCCATGGTTGTTAATTCAGCTTAATTTTGAGTTGAATATGTTGTGCATTTCCAAGATAAGATTTTGAATTTTACATATGGTGTTTCCTGCATAAACAACCATTTGAACGCAACGGCATCTAAGATATGATATGTGAGAGTGCACCTTATGAAAACATTGGATAAAGACATTTGTATACATAATTGCAACTTCTCTTACTTTATTAGTTCTGCGGTAGAGTCGTGGAACCTCTGAGGCACTCTTCAGGAATCGACAGCTGCGTTCGGTCAGATGCTGGGTCATCCTAGTGTTCAGAGAGGGAATGCTGCTTGACAGGGAAGCCTTGGAGTCTGCTAGAGCATCTGACATAGATGAGAGCACTTGTTAATGCACATACAGTCAACTTGTGCTAATATCAGGAAGTGGAAAAACCTGAGATTTAAGAAATGATAGGAAATACTGCATGAGAAGTGAACCTAAACTGTAAGTCACCTTCCACAAGAGAAACGTTTTTGAATCCAATGGCTTCAAACCGTTTTCTGACCATCTCTGACAACTCTGGGATCTAAAGAAAGACAAGCCAATTGTGAGATGGAAAAAAAGGAAACTAAAGAAGAAAATCCTTTAAGAAACTGCAAATCAGGCTAAACAGTAATATATTAAATGTAAACAAGTTGGAACTACACAGATAAAAATGTAATTAGTTTGTTTGTGAGCACCTGCTCCTGCAGTTTTTGGATGTCTGCTGCAATGTAAACCAGCTGTTTGGTGGACAGGGAGGCAGGACTCCCACTCTCACTGCCGCCTTCCTCCAGTGATGTTCTGCTAGATGTAGAAGAAGCTGAGCTCGGCAGAGGCCTGGTTGGCTCCTTAGTCACCTCAGAGGGCGGAGACTTAGTCAGCACCTGCACAAGACAACAATCAAGATGAGAAACAGGTTATAACAACTGGCTTTTAATTTGGCTTCTTTGGCATTTTTTAAAAATCTCATAAATAAATAAAATAATCAATAAATAAATAATCACATAAATAATCACTCATATATTTTAAGTTTACCTCATCAAGAAACTTGGCATATCTTGAGTACAGCTGCAGCGTAAGCTTCCAGAAGCGATGTGCCAGAGGTGACAGATAGACAT